GTGAGAGAGAGAGAGAGAGAGAGAGAGAGAGAGAGAGAGAGAGAGAGAGAAACTGGATCGAAAAGATACGACTCTGATCGTGATTTTGCTCCTAGCGCCATTAGACTCCATGACATCATTCCATGACAGATTCCCCTCCCCCTCGCGCCATTCCAAAGCAGTGTCCAGCTAAACCACCAGGAGATTTCTGTACTCTTAAAGATTGAGGGTCTTGTAAGATAACTCGAAATTCACGAATCCCCTGCAATTTGATGTATATCGTTGTCGAAGTTGCAGCGTTTTGCAGACAGAAATCTAGATAAGTTTCTAGAGACAGTTGAAAATGTGCCAAATGAACTTCATCGGTTGACGATAAAAATGAAAAGGATGTGAAGAGCTATCAATTATTCATCACTTATTTTTTAGCATAATAATCGGTTAAGGCATATGAGAATCTATCAACAGCTTTTTCGTACTTAGATATTTATTTAGATTATTAATGTGTTCTTTTTCATTATTGAGTTTTATTCGATCACAAACGACATTTATATCTGTATTCTGATGATGAAATAAAAATAATCATGATACCAATTCAATTACTGCCTGACATCGACCCTTTTATCTTCATTATTTCATTTCCGAGTTTGTTAGAGTGGGGGGGGGGGATCTACTACAATGTTGTCAAGTGTTGATGGACCATATTGGAACTACAACTGTGGATAAACACATGAAGCTCTTATCAAAATCCGTCTACAACGAACGTGGGAATGTCGCATCTTTTATGCCACTTATCCGCATTTTCAAGATTAAACGAGAAAGATATATATCCCATGAGCAAATGCGTTACAACGAGATTTCTTGGGTGATGAAGTGTATTAGTGAAACACAGATATTCTTAGAACGAATGATGAGCACGTGGGGCATAAAGAGCGCATGTCGTTTAATAGCGCGAAACGATCTTCCAGAATTTCAAATGATCTTGGCGCCTCCCAGTGAGGATTAACGTGACTGGAGACAAAAAAAAAATGAAAATATTGCCTAATTGGTGGGCTGAGGTTATCCTTCGCCAATGTCCGACGTAATTGATCCCTTATCTGTGGAAGAGTTCTTAGGAGATTGTATTCGCAGATTTCTCGCTAAGTAATTTCCCACGTAATCCTAGGAACAGCAGGCGACTTGAGTTTGGAGAGAGTTATCGGTGGTTTGTTATGGAATTTTTATCAATTTGATTTATTAAGATTTTTATGTGTGCTTTCGGGGAACTGTGTCACTCCGGCGGGATGTGGGGGATGCATTTACGTGGCCACTGACATGCACGTATCTCCTTTCTGAGAACAATTAAAATCTTTCTTTTTTTCCTCTTTTGGATCTTTTTGTAATGTCATGAAATTTCAAAGTAAGGGAAAGTCTTATCTTGCTACCTATTCCTTTTATTTTTGGGGTTGAATGCATCATTGGATCCCTTGAGGGGATGAGTACTGCGGAACGTGCTCACTGAGTGGATAGGTGACCGCTAAAATATCAAAGGGGGAAGGTATCACAAAGAAATACAGTAGAGGCTTCGTATAAGATACCTTAGGGACAGTAGGAGAGTGGAATTCCGGGAACCCCTGTGCCCCCACTACGCGCTCCTATAGAGAGGAGATAGGGATCAGCGGGTTTCAAATAAGATACCACGCTCGTTCCGCCCGAATTCAATGAAATTGTCATTTTTACTGAATGAATATCGATAACTAATCAATTTATATGTGTTTAATGTTTCGAATTTGTATCGCCCGCGTTCCCTTTTCTCTATAAACATAACCCCATGTGATAGAATGGCAGCCGATGTTGGGGGATTGTTGGTGGACTCGAGAGTAATCACAGACGAAAAATTAAGATTTTTCGATGGGAAAAGTGAAAAAAAATTCGATGTATATTTCCATTACTCGGAAAAAGTGGTGTGACCCCCCCCCCCTTAAGGTCATTAGACCCTCATGATCACTTCGTTCGTCGCTCCCGTTTCACTCTTAACACTGTTTGATCCTTAAAAACTTGAAAAAATTGTTCTGGATCTTTTCTGGAACGCGGAGGAAATTTTTTGGCAGAAGTCAACATATGCATATATGCATACTCCCTTTAGCGATAAAGGAAAAATCGTATTATTTAATCACTGAGATGAGGTGAATACTAAATGTGCAAGATTTTAGTAGTTATCTCAATTTTTTTGCCGTTAATTGTGATAATGTCATTGATATTCACTACCCATGTCTAATTTTTAGGAATGTATCACCAAATTTGAGTCATAACACACTGATGATGACGGTCATTCTAGTCAGTGTCCAGTGTCACCAATAATTGGCGACAAATTCATGAAAACTAATGACATGTCCCTGAAAATCAAAGTTTTTTTCTCCGATTACAGGATATATAATTATTACTCTTATCCACAATATTAAAATCTATCTAAAAGTAGCCCAACATAACATAATGCTAGAATCCTTTTTATAATTTAATTTCCCGCAGAAAAGAGCACAATTTTTGAGGTATCACTTCGCTCTGCGGTTTGGGATTCACTCTCTATTTGAATTGTCTTCTGTAAATATGTACTAGAGGGACCGGAAAAAGATAGTCCCGATAAATTTCGACAGTTTATCCACCGAATGAATAGAGTATCACTCTACTTTTGAAGAATAAAGGATCATAAAAATTCACATCTGTTCATTTCTATTCTCTTATCACTACATCTTCACGCGTAGTTCATAACCCGATTATGTTCACCAAAAAAATATATCACTAAAAAGGTGTAACCATTTCGGAGACATTTTCATGGAATTTTCTGCGCCCGATAACATCCTTTTAATCTAATCATTCGTCCTTACATTGCGTAAATGTATGTGTGGCGACAAAAGGGGGTCAACACGTGTGAAACGGGCAGCGTCTGCATACTCATACACGATTATAAAATACTTACTACCAGCCCTAGGTGTTTCAAGTGTCAACAGAATAAGTCAAACATGAGTAGCGGGACTTTATCGTCGCGTTACCATGGTAATTACGCGAGAGATATCAATAATCGGCGATTTGCTGAGGTACAGCCGTACTCATTCGTGATTTCGATTTATTCCCTTATATAGAAACCACACAGGATGCGCGGGTTGATTTTCCACGTTATTTATTTGTGAAAAACTTCCTTTTCTTCAGTCCAATTTCAAATCTCTCAACTTTCATACACTCATAAATGCATTATAACCATAAATGATACATAGAAAAAAATTAATTAATGATAAAGATGCATAATCAATGAAAAATCAATAAATAATTCTGAATCTTCGATCAATTTCCTTTCAATTTTCACAGGAACCCGATCAATATCTGTAATTTTTGAAAAACAAGGGAAAAGTTATGGATCGATTTTCTAGGAATGCAAACAATTTTTTGAAATGTTGTATAAAACCCGAGAATTTGCTAAAAAACTAAAATTTTCTAGATTTGTATCAAAAGACATTTTCTCAAATGACAAAAAAAAGACATTTTTCTCGAATTTTTTAAAAACCGGGGAGTTTTATCGGCTTTTCTTCTAAATGGAAGGATTGTGATCGTTGTATTTTCATATTTTCTAATTTTGATTGGAAACTATGTAAAATAATCTCCAATATAAAAATACGTATGTTGCCATTGGCCGAGTCTGTATGTGCGCATGTCCGCCGCCACCATCACGGTGGCGATTAATATCTACAATTGTGTCAGATTTTAGGTATCAATGAGGGCTAACTCTGTGCAAAATTTCAGCCCCATCAGTTGAATATTTTTCGAGAAAAAGCGATTTTTTTTCAAATCTTTTTTCTCGAATATCTTCAAAACTAGTCGACTGATTTCAATTTTTTTCCTAAATTCTATTGCCTTTTATTCGATAAGTTTCGATAAGTTTTGATTAGTTTCGATACCTTTTATCTAAATCCACAAACAAATATACCCCTTCATTTTTAATCAAACTTACTTGCACGTACTATATCACGGGTGGAGGTGACAGTAATTCTCTGAAATGTTGGCTGTTAGTTAGTGCTGTCAAGTTACAAAGTGTTGTAAAATTTTAAATTGAATTATTCCATACTTGAGCTCAATTTATCCAATTTCTTTCTCCTTTTCTAACTTGTTTTTTTACTCTTGTATTCAACATTTTGTATAATTTTATTTCATCAAAAGATTAAATATCTCCCTGTAAACACCCAGTAGAATGAGGTAGAACTAAAACAAAGAAAAAAAAGGGTAGTACAGAAATATACCGTCCGGAATAATATCTCCCATTGTAAACAAAAAGACTAATAACACAAAAAGTAACGGTCACGTGCCTTCTATTGAATAGGCTCGAACCCCTCCTTGTTTAAAATTTAGACCCCATGTCCACGTAAAAAAATTAAAGAAATTGAAGATTATGAGATTTGTGGAAGTACATGATGAATGAAAACCCCAGAAGGAAAAATTAATTAATGCCGCGCATGGCAAACATGAGGGAATTAACAATTATAACACAAAGAATGATTTCTCAGTTTGAAAAATCTGAAAATTCCGCGTGTTTTTTCAGCTACTAACTTTACGCGACTCATTGACCAATCAGAATTAATGATTAGCGGTCTGGCAGTTGCGATATGATTTAAGGATATAGCAACTCCACGGAACGTTGAGCTTTTAGAGATAGAATTTCCATCGTCGCACTAGAAAGACTCATTTTCCTGTCAACTTTCAACATTAAATCAGGAGCTCACTGAATGATTATGATTAAAAGGTTTGAAAATGATTTTAATCTTCGATCATTTCATGAAATTCAACAAGAAATAAATTTCCCAAGTGGG